TTTATTTTTTTACTACTTGTACTCTCGTATGAATGTAATGCTGTGGTAATTTACTTTATTGTTTTTATTTTACTTTATGTGAAGCACTTTGTAATTTTATATCTAAGAAAGGTGCTATATAAATAAACTTTACTTACTCACTTACTTACCAAAGCAACATCGTCGCTCCTCTGCACATGGTGCAAATGCAAGAGGGCAGAACACATTTTTACACCCCCAAATTTTTTAGGAGTGTGTCTGACTCACATGCATTAAATTCCTATTTTCTCTGCATTTGGACATCATATTTGATGGTGGAGTCAGGAGACACACAAAGCAGAGTGTTGGGCACGAGGAAAGAAAGAGCGTGGGGTAGATATGGTGTCTGCAGTGCAAAGCAGCAGGCAAGGAAAGGTGGATGGGAAGAGGTGGCAAACTTATTTCTAGCAACAAAGCAGGTTGGAGGATAATTATTTAATTTTTTTTATTGAGACATGAAATAAATTTCAAGCTGAGTTTTTGAAATAAATTTTGAGATTTGAAAAAAATCTGAGATTTTTTTAAATGTTTGTATATACCAGGGGTCTGCAACCTGCGGCTCTGGGGCCACGTGTGGCTCTTTGGTCCCTCTGCAGTGGCTCTTTGAACATTTGCCCAAACATAACAAATTTTTTTTGTTTTGTTTTTTATTCTCACAACACTAATAAATTGAATGCAAATATGTGATCAACACTACTAATATAAAAAGTAAAACATGTTAGCTCGTGCTAGCCTGTTGTTTACCTAAATAATCCAACTTCTTTCTATGATTTTTCTCTCAAATCCATCAGGGTTATCTTAAAACACCTTTAGGACTACATAATAAGAAGAATTAGGGGAAAAAATGTCTGACTAATTCAGCTGTATTAGTTTTTATGAAATTCTGTATAAACTACAGCCAGCATTTTNATTAAGATTTCTCAGCTAAAAGAAATAAAACTTTGCTAGCTCACAGGGAAAATCTCAAAATATTAAGGCGTTTTTCCTCAAAATCAGCTTTTTTGTTGCTACTCTCGAAAAAGTGCTTCAAATTTTTGTTTTATGATTATATTTCAGACAGTTCATTCAATGATACACTGATAAGGCTTTTATTCATTATACTTTGACAAAATGCAATTTTTGTTAACATTTTAATTAGGGCTGTGAAATTAATCGAGTTAACTCTGATTAATTTTAGTGCTCTATGGGCATAGATTAAACATTTTAATCACAATTAAAATTTACAATCACTTTAGCTGAATATGTAGGTTTGTATATTGCAACGCACTCTGAGCATGCCAGGTCATGTTTGTAAATGAGAAGTGGTTCTCAAACAGTTTACCTGGAAAAATAAAGGTTAAATAAATAAAATTAAACTCCATTGTAACACATTATGTACTTTGTTCTTTTTGTCTTCTTATGGCTTATTTTATTTTATTTATTTATGTTTTGCTGCCAGCTGTGACATAGTATCTATCTTTCATTCCTCATGTAGAACTCATTTGGAATGAAATTCCTTGAATTCTTGATTTAACCTCATTATTCTGCACAAAATTTCCAAGACTCAAATATGTTTGGAGCATTTTTTAGGTCCTGTTTTATATTAAAAAGAAAATCATGTCTAAGCACCAAATTTTTTTTTCTAAATTAAAACATTAATTAATAACTCAAGTAATTTATTTTACCAATATGCAATAAAGTTTTATATTAAGGTTAAGATGCTACCTTGGAATTAATGGATTAAAAACTTTTAATCATTTGACAGCCCTAATTTTAATAAAAACACTACATCTGCCTATTTCTCCATACACCACTTTTAGATTTAGTCCTCGTTTCGATGTGATGGATCACATTTTGTCTCCAGACTGCTCCTTCAAAATGAGTCTTAAAAGAATTCAAACAGCACTTTGCTAGACTAAAACAAACGCTCCACTGGCCTCTGCATATTCAGAAACAGATAAATAAAACACAATGTGCAACTGCCTTTAGAAACATATAATCTCATTTGCAGAACATCCATCCATCATCTTTTACCTGCTCCTTTCAGGGTCACTGGTGCCCGTGTCCAGCAGTCACTGTGCGAGGGGCGGGTACACCCTGGATGGGTCGCAGGTCCCATCAAACCTCGGGACAATTTAGTGTTACCATCTAACCTAACGGTCATGTTTTTGGTCTGTGGGAGGAAGTCGGAGTTCCCAGAGGAAACCCACACACGCACAGAGAGAACAGTTTTTTTTTCTTCTGCTGCCTTTCATTTTATTTAATTTGTATTTTTTGGGAATTTGTTTTGTTTTTTTAAATGAAATGGATAAATAAATAAGTAAATAAAAAAAACCATCCAACCAACCAAACCAACCAAACCAACCAACCAACCAACCAACCAACCAACCAACCAACCAACCAGCTTAATCTGTGTAAAAAAAGAGCAGTAGAGCAGTCCCACAGTTTGAGAATCACTGGTCTATAGCTTTAGATGTTGCAACAATAAAAGTGTCACGATTACACAAATGGTAAATGGTACTGAACTTATAGAGCGCTTTTCAAGTCCCTCCGGACCCCCAAAGCGCTTTACACTAACAGACATTCACCCATTCACACTCACATTCACACACTGATGATGGCAAAATAAATAAAACAAAATAAAGGACGTTGGAATTATAGTTTTGTTTCTTTTAAATGTGACTAAAATTTGAGAAAAAACCCAAACCCAGACTGTTAATATGAAGCAGTTTGTTGTCTTTCACAACCTGAATTCATAACTGGCTTTTTGTTGCATGAACTTTAAGAAAGCAGAAATAAACGTAAACACTGCACTGTTTGTGTGTCTTTTATTTATTTATTTTTTACAAAGATTATCAGATGGATCTACACGGCCATAGTCCAGCCCACGCTATGCTATGCTGCTGTAGTAAGGCGGGCTCGAGTTCAAGCTGGGGTGGAAGAGTGATGTTCACCCATGTGCAACGAATGGGCGGTACCTTTCACATCAACATTACTATGTTTTCCTGCAGAGGAGGGACGCAGAAAGCAGAATTGTTGATTCTCTTACTGATTAATGTAAATAACTGCAATCAAATTTAGCTGTGGCATTGAATTAGAGACTTCTTTGCACTACTTAGACCACTGCCTGGCTCTGAGCAAAGGAAAATATTTCTTTAACCTTTCCTGATACATCTCAGTAATCCAGGTATAAAAAATTTAAAAAGAAAAAATAAGTAGGTCCTCTGAATGGGTTCTTTGTTAATGAAATGTTTCATCTCTCCTACACAAAACGGCTGGCTCTAGATGCTCCTAGAGCCAGCACAGATGAGCTACGTCATCGGGTCAGGACTCTGCAGTTTACACTCATCTACAGGCCAGGACTCTGCAGTTTACACTCATCTACAGGTCAGGACTCTGCAGTTTACACTCATCTACGAGTCAGGACTCTCCAGTTTACACTCATCTACAGGTCAGGACTCTGTAGTTTACACT